GATTTGCTGCTGCCATTTGTCTACTGTTTTGTCTAATATTAACAATTATAAACAGAGCAGTGCAACTAGTATTTGGAATTATCCTTACAGTGTTACAGTGTCAGGCACGAGGTTTCACTTCTCTTCACACCACTGGTTCTCTTTGCGCACCTGCAAGACAGAAACATCAAGGAGTGTCTAACATGAGTGCTCTTTCCTAAGACTTCCTTAAGACCCAATGAACGCACTTCCTGCTGCTGTGGTGGGTCACAAGAGGACATGGGGAAACTAGGAAAGCAGGCTAATCAGAAGCCCCAGGTCGCCTTCGTTGGTACCCGTGTTTTCACCTGCCCCTCACATATGGTCAAAAGCACATCAAAGCTGAAAGAGCACATTCACCTTGTTTCAGTTTGTGGCTCTCTCAACAAAGCCATTCCGATCTATCCATTCACTTTCTCCCCACTCACTAGCTGTCCTGGCACAGACCAAACCATGTGTGTATCAAAGACGGCCAGGTGTCAGAATTTGTAACTGCAAGTAACTTTGTACAAAATCAGTTCCTTCAAATGAAAAAAACAAAACAAAAACAATTTGGGGAGAGGGGGCGGGCGGGTATAAGAGAGCAGGTACAATCCCTCATAAATTCAATATTCCTTGATACAGGCACCCCCTTTCCCTGGCAAATTACTTATCCACAAATTTTTATTATGATTTGAATATATGTTTACAGAGGAAGCTGGTTTTCCATTCAACAACTCACACATTATTTTATTTGATCACAATCCGCACACTTTAGCAGCACTCTTGGACTTCTTCCCGGTTTATCATTTGCATCTGTCCTCCTCCCTTTGAAGCTTTATACCTCTAGGTAAATGCTGCCTTTCGATCTTGAATGGTTAGTAGGTTACAATGGACAAACTGTGGACTACCTACCTGGGCTTCCTCCTCTTCAGTAAAGTCATTTTTGATATTGAAGGTCTTGCGAATCTCCTCAGGAGTTTTCCCCTTGATCATATTGGCAACGGTCTTGCATGTAACATCAAGCAAACCTTTAATGTCTAAGTAGTTTGCAGCCTGTAAAGTGATTAAATTGTTTTTAATCAAGTATACTTGATGCTTTAAAAGAAATAAACTCGATAGTGATTGACAATCATTAATTAAACTTAAAATGTAAATTAATTTTAAAATTAAAAGGTTAAGTCAGACATTAGCTCTTTTAAAAATTTTTTTATACATGCCTTTCTTATGCATTTGTATAATACTGAGTCCTTGTGCTGCCTTACTACTATATATACTGGAGTATAAGCAGAGTTTTCCAGCAGATTTTTAATGCAGTTTTTGGGGTAAATTTCGGTGTTTCAGCTTATATCTGGATCAGCTTATACTCGAGTATATATGGTAAATTATATAGTCATAAATTGGGGGGGAGAAAGGGTGGGATGATAAGCACAAGTCAAATGTAGGATAAAATATTTATCCACACATAAAGGGTATAAATATATGCAGTTAAAGCATGACATTACTCTAATCAAGTAACTGATTTTTTCGTTTCATTGATGTTCTCATCTTCCTTTTTAAAATTGTCTCTTCTTTCCCTTCTGCTTACTTTGATCTTTCATTAATTTCTTCAGAGTTGAAGCTTAAGTCGCTGGTTTGAGGTTGTTGCTTTCTAACAGTTTACTACTACTCTGGTAGCATCACACCGATTTTTTGTTACTGATATCTAATGTAATTCCATTGTGGCCAGAAAAGATACTGTTTATCACTTGAACTCTTTTATGGCCTAGAACATAGTCTACTACCTTGGGAGTATATACATCCTGCTGTCATCAGTGTTCTGTAAATGCCAATTAAGACAAGTTGGGCAACAGCATTATCTAAGTCTTTCATAGCTTTACCGATTTTTCTATCTACTTACTATAAAATTATTGAGGGAAAGAGATGTTAAGACCCCCATTTCTCCCCTTCTGAGTTCTATTGGTTTTGCACTTTTTTGCAAGGTGTTTTTATTTAGTTAGATAAACGTATAGGATTGTCATAACCTCTTAATGAATTGATCCCTTTAGCACTATGACAATGACGTTCTATCCAGCTTTCTTCTGAATAGTGGTGTTCTATGTGTTGAGTCAATCTGACTCCTCCTCGTTCTAGAGGACGGACTACAACAAAACTGT